TGATCTTGATTAATCTTTATTATTCAGTAAATTCGAACAATAAAGTGGAAGCCAGAAGTATACGAGGAGAACGATCATATTAGGATTATAAATGATTCGATACATATAATACACAAGAATAGAAACGATCCTTTTCAGGACCACAATATTCCAAACGAAAAGATCAGAGAATAGACTTAATTAAATTTTTATTAATTTAGATGATTACCAAATATTTCAGTTTAATTTAACTTTGTAACTATAATTCAAATACATATATTGATATTATATCAACGGCCCAGCGAGAGGGGGGGATCGGAGACTTTTCCGCCCGGGCCCGTAGATTGCAAGGGGGCCAGGTGTTTTCATTGTCGTGTATAGAATAATTTGCTGCTAGAATATCTATGACGTAACTAGTTACAGATTTTCATGGATTGCGATACTAATTCTACGCCTCTGAAAAAATCAGTAATTTTGTTACTTCACATATGATGTATGTGACACATGTTCTTATCTTACAGTCATTGCAGTAAGAATTAGTTTTGTATGAGAAAGATCAATTTTTCAGGCTATAATCTGTGAAAAGTCCTACATAGAGCTATAACTTGTGGAAAGAAATGAAGTTAATTGTTTGTGCGGCTCGGAGTTGTGCCAATTTTATATTATTATAATAATATAATATAACATATAATAAAATATGGATAAAATAATATAACATAGATAATTTATAGCAAAATTCGTTTCATGATTATATTGATATGAACTATGTGCTGCTCATATTTATATTTAGTATGTTGTTCCGAATATCTCAAGCATTATAATATTAGTTATTTACACAATGTGAATTGGTTCAAAATAATATGCTACATGAATTCTGAATAGATTTTCCAATATATTTATAAATTGAATTCAACTTTTATGCTTGCACTTATTTGAAATGGCGCGCGTGAAAATCTATACCATCTTCATACATATGCGCGAAAATCTAGTGTCGCACTACTGCGTTACCGACAAGACGTGTTTTTAGTCGCGGAAAGAAAAGTTAAACTAACCCTTCGAAATTATTTCCCTATTCCCTACATAGGTTGCATTTTAGTGACAGTTGCGCA